TCCCTCAGCCTTTCCTCCTAGGGGAGATGCTCCAGTCCCCTCATCATCCTTGTTGCCCTCCTCTGGACTCTTTCTAGGAATTCCTCATCTTTCTTGAACTGGGGAGCCCAGAAGTCACCCTCGTGTATGTGCTCCACTAATGCAGCGGAGCTTCTGGAAGTGGAGGGACATACTTGCCCCTAGACACACATAGGAGACACGGAAAAGCCGGGCTGGCTGCTTGTGGGCAGAGCCTGCTGGTTGTGCGGGGGTTTGAGATGCTCCTCTCCTTTCAGGTGAGACAAGGCAAAGTGACCCGTCAAGGGAAGTTCAAACCCAACAGCTACGCGTATCGGACAAAGGCTGGCACCGTTCTGCTCCACAAGTCAACAATCAACAGGTGGGTGGTGGTCCCTGTGTGTCTGCGAGGGTGGGGACCCTTCACAGCACCAGGGCTGTGCCGAGGCCCCCGGCACTGCCTCCCGCCACGTGTGCGGGTACTGGAGTACAGCACATCTCTGCCTGTTGCTGACCAAGCTGTTCCCCTGTGCAGGGAGGCATCCAAGCTGTACAGCCGCTGGCTAACGTACTTCATGGCGGTGAAGTCCAACGGCGGGGTGTTTGTGAGGGACTCCTCCCAGGTCCACCCGCTGGCCGTGCTGCTCATGACCGACACGGATATCCATGTCCGAGGTGAGTGCTGCAGCAGCCGTGGGGCTGACGCGGCCGCCCGCGCGTCCTCTTGTGCTGCCTGTAGGCTCCTCCTGCTGCGCCTGACACCCCAGGCACCCCGCTCCTTCAGCTCTACCGCAGCCTGAGGGGCTGCGAGGTGGCTACCCCCGACCCCTGCGATGAGCCGCTCTGCCGCTTGCCTTGGCCAGCTCTCTTCCCCTGCTTTCTAAGCCTCTTGCTTTGGACTGGGTGTTGCTGCAGTGGGGCCACAAAGGTGATGATTTGTGAGCTGTTCTCAGCTGTAGCTCTCCAGAGAGGCAAGGAAACCAAGCCACGGGCAGGCTGAGCAGGCAGGCCTGTGCCTGGAGCCTCTTCCCGGGGGGAGGGGGG